GACCACAGCAGCGACCACAACGACAACCCTTTACTTGGTGGCTTCCGACTTCGACGTTATCAGTGCAACATCGGTATCCGGCGGTTGGAAGATCACGGGAGATGGTGGCAACAACATCGACTATCGGCAGCACAACAACAGTGGGGCGGTGGTCTTTGCCGGCCGAAGAATGGAAGTAAATGGGTGGTGGTGCGGCGGCTGGAAGAGGGATGCATAAGGGTGGCGGATGGTGAGGGACCTAGGGTTAGGGTTTGGGTCATGAGGGTAACAGTTAAATACTCCCGTCCCATATCAACCTTTTCCATAATGTCAGGTTCAGTCCCTCCTTCCCCCATTTCTTTCAAAATAAATCCATAAGTTACCCTTTTAACCCCAACCCTCTAAAATCTCTTCAAATTAAGTCCAACATTTTACCAAGTAGCCCCTCCCTCTATAATTATTTTCAAATGAAGTCCAAATTTTACTCCTTAGCCCCTGCTTCCATAAATATTTTCATAATAAGACCCATACTTACCAAACTCCCCCCTGTCTTCTTAATTAATTACGGAACCAATCCGAAACTTACACTTTTAACCTCCGACTTCTAAAATTATAACATTTGGCTCCCGAAACCAACACCTTGCTATATAATTATTGATTTTAGGGTACTATTCATTCATTAATGTGTTTATTTATTTATTAAATAAACGGGGTGTTACACCATAGATCTGGAAGGATAGCACTTGGGAAGACCTTCAATCCCACCAATCACCCAAATAAGGCTAAAAGCCTCAAAACTAACCCAAAAAGAGATGCAAACAAATATTGAGCAAGGTTAGAAATTTCTACCAGAAATATGCTGGAAATGAAGCAAAGAATCAAGATCTTGAAGGCTTCAACTTGAATCACCACCTTGCACCAAGCTTCTCCTTCTTCCAATGGCTTCAAATACACCAAAATACACTCTTAAAGGGCTCACAACAATCAAAAAGGATTTAGGGTTTCAAGATTAGGGTTAGGGACTTTGGAGGCTGGAAATGAGGCCAACACCTGGGATTTAAGGTGTTTAAATAGGGTGCAAAACCCTAAAATTAGGGTTTCCTGTAGAGCGGTCAACTCCCCGAGTTGAGGCTCCTCAACTCGTCGGGTTGCCTCATAAAATCTTGCGTCCAAAACAATTTCAACACGTTGAGTTGGGGCTCTAACTCGACGAGTTCTTCAAGAAAAATGAAATACTTTGAATTAAAATCTAACCAGAAATAAGGTGTTACACCAAGCCCATGATAGTTTAGGGTTTCCTTCATAATTAAAGCCCTCTAAGTTGATTTTAGGGTTTATTATCAGCCTCCAACACCCTCCTACCTCAGAAAAACCATAACCCTAATTCCCTTGATGATTCTTGGCCTTTTGGTGCAAATGGTAGTTTGAAGAATAAGAAGGAGGAGGAAAAGAAGAAGGTGTTGTAGTTGTGGATCGAGCAAATAAACTTCATCATCATGATCATCTTATGCTCTTTCTGGACCTTTGTAAGTGTCCAAGATCCAAACTTTATTGCTTAATGTTGCTAGATCTAAGTTGTTGGCCCATGTCGATTATGTTTGAGAAAGTTTGAATGGAAGGAATTCATAATGTCGGAAAATTTTTGTATTCTAAGGGTCCCTTAAGTATTATAAGGTTCAGGTCTAGAATTTAGTTAAGTATTGGATCAATGCATGTGATTTTTGGTATTATCTCTTTACTTTTGACCTAGAATGGACGGAGGACATGCATGAGGCATGCATGTCCATAAAATAATCATTTTTATGGGCTTTGGGGGTCCCCTTTAGCTTCTAGAAAAGTAGGACTTAGAGACTTAATGGATTAAGGACTCAAATCTTTGGATTGATGCTTCATACTGTAGTCATGACATGACACTAGGGCTGTCACGGCATGGCCATGAAAGGATCCCGCTTCTATTGTGTTTTTCTGATGCTTACAAAGTGACAGAGGAATGTTCACGTCGTGAGGTTTGCTTAATGGGTTGTCTGTGACCGAGTTGGCTAACTTGCAGCGAGTTGAGTTGGAATCGAGTCGAGATCGCTGTCATGACGTGACCAAGGGATGGTCACGATGTGAGGATCGATGGTTGAAATTATTCGTTGTTGACTTTGACTTTGACCGTGGATTTTTGGCATGGGTTGGATTTTGGTCAAATATTCTATTTTTAAAAGATAGACTTAGGGTTACCTTGTGTGGATTATAAGGATTTGTTTAGCACCCATTCGTTGACTGGGGAAATTCGTTAGCTATGGTCGGCGTGGCATTGAGTTGAGTTATAGTCGGCTTTGTGAGTCAGGTAAGTTTTCTGTTAGCTGTGGTCGGCGTGGCATTGAGCTGAGTTAGAGACGTTTCACTCATCGTGATGATCCCACGTAGTAGACGATTCTAGAAACCCGCGATCATGTATGTGGGCATAAATCATAGGCAACCGATGTCGATACATATTCACACACTTTTTGCATAGGCAACTCACTTTGCCTTCATAGTTAACATGTTTCTCAACAATATTCAAAAATTTATTAAGACCTTCCAAGAATTTTGAAGACATTCGGTTCTCTCTAATCCATCTTATCAATCGTCATTACGGTTTCAGTATTAAAAATTACATTGTATACTTAGTTATTGAATGTTATATTGTATTTAGACTATATGTGGAAATTGATAGAGTATTCACAAGTATATAAAGAAATATATACCCGAGTAGTAAAAATCGGACGGAATGGATAGAGTATTCACAATTATATAAAGAAATATATATTTCAGAAGTAAAAATCGGACAAAACAGATAAAGTATTCACAAGGGTAGGCTACTAAACCCACTTTTTGAATACCTTATCTCATATGTAAATGGTATTGCATGATTGTTAGTTTGAGAGAAAATTCAACATCATTTCCCCTTAGCTCCCAAGTATATAAAGAAATATATACCCGATAAGCAAAGAGAAAATGATAACCAAATTTTTCTTAAACAAACAATCATGCAATACACATTCACATCCTAAATGAGATAAAGTATTCAAAAAGCAGTCACAAAACGGGGACAACCCGAAATTAATTTCTAAATCAATTTCGATGGATATTTCTAGGCTATTGATGACTATAAAGAAGACACTTACACTAAAAATCAATGATTCAACGTGTTTTCATACTTTTGTTAATTATAGGATCATACTTTTGTTTGTTTTCTATTATAGCACTTATCATGAAATTAGATAGAAACAGTTTAAACACATATATATGTACTCAAACTAGTACACTTAAACACTTTAAACACTTATCACTTAAGCACTTTATCACTTCATCTTATATGTACTCAAACTAGTAAACATAAACAACTAAACAATCATACATATTATACATTTTATACATCTAAAACAACCACTCAATATCAACATAATCAAAGATTCTAAATACATAAAAACATCACCTAACCAAAGACAACCCCCCAAGAAAAAACAAAAAAATAAAAATAAAAAAAATAAAAAAATAAAAAAAAAAACTTGAGAAATCAAATAACTTTACCTGTAGTCGGCGGCAGCAGTGAAGGAGAGTGGCTGGAAGGAGATTATCATCGGTGGTGGTCGTCCGGTGATAGCCTTACCGGAAAACAAAGAAAAAACAGAAAAAAATCATATAAATATCAAAATCAAACCTGAAAAAGAGTGAAATCGGAAATGGGGAGTGGTCTAGAAGTTAACCTGCGCTCGGTGGTGAAGGAGAGTGGCCGGAGGGGTAGATCGTCGTTGAGAGATCAATAAAGAAATTAGTGGGCGTGGCGCTGCAAATGAGGGTCGACTGGCCTGTTCGTTGAGGTTAACCCATGTGTGTCGACGACATGTCCTCGGTATAGGGTTAAAGTGGACGATGTCGTTTCATTTTTCTCGTAAATAAAAAAAATTAAAAAACACCTCTGCAAACGACAAGTCGTTGGGAAAAGAGTTCGCACGGATAGCCAATTTTTGTGCTGACGACTTATCGTCTGGACAGCTTTCTCAAAAACGACATTGTTTCTTTTTTCGGCAACATTGATTATAAATATATAAAAAATATATTTTTCATAACTTATACCGACAACATGTCATCCACATAGGTCTTGAGAAAACCACGTAAATAATTTTCGTTCCTGCCAAAGCTATGGCGACGACAAGTCGTCGGCATAGATATCGAGGTCGAACATATTTGGTCAACCCGGTACCTATGACTTGTCGTCGGCATAGCTGCAGTTGTAGCGATATAAATGTTGTCGGCATAAGGGTATTTTCTTGTAGTGAGTTCTTTCTTCAGCATCCATGTTTATCACTGGATTCAGGGTCCGACCAATGAAAAGTGACTCGAATCGCAATAAGAATGGAGAAAACAGGTATCATTATTTTGTGATGAGGAGGGATAAAATTTGTGTTTTCATAACAATTATTGTACAGATACCAGCAAATGATTAATAGATATTATTGGGCGACTACATTATTAAAGGCAAAAGCATACAGCCTACTTTGAGCATCTGATACTTCGATGTAAAAGCATTCTCTTTAGAGTGAAGAGGAATCTAATAGCTTTTGCAAGCCAAACACATTATATTGAGTTCATATTTGAATCCACATCTCGAGTATGATCCCTAGTTTCTTTTCACTAGTTTCTGTTCAATCTTTAATAAAAATTTCCTTTAATAAAGATTTGACTCAATAGTTTTTGCAAGCATACCTTCAATGGCGTCTTCTTCATCGTCATCCATTCAGAAGAGCTATATCTATGATGTATTCATGAGCTTTAGAGGTGAAGACACCCGTAAGACTTTCGTTGATCATCTTTATGTTGCTCTTGAACGGCAAGGTATTCGCACTTTTAAGGATGATGAGAGACTGGAGAAAGGAAAAAGGATCAATGACGAGCTCTTGAAGTCCATTGAAGAGTCAAGATTCTACATCATTGTATTCTCTAAAAACTACGCGTCTTCGTCTTGGTGCTTGGATGAGCTTGTAAAGATTATGGAATGCCAAACGGGGGCTGAGCAGATTGCTTATCCTGTGTTCTATGATGTGGATCCCTCTGAAGTCCGCAAACATCTTGGGCCTGTTGGAGAAGCTTTTGCCAGACATAACAATAAAGAGGAGGTCTGGAAGTGGAGAGAGGCACTGAAAGAAGCAGCGTGTCTAGCTGGGTGGGATTTGAGGAACACTGCTGATGGGTAATTCTTTCATCAATGTTTTGTTTTGTTTATTTCTAGTATATTTATATACAAAAAGGGACATCTATGCCATCTTGTGTTATATTGTAAAATTTCATCTCCAATTTCACTCTGGTCAGAGATGAACAATCAAACAGGCATATGTTTGTTAGTCTTAACTAATTGTTCATGTGTGGGCCTGGTAACTGACTCTCCACCTTTGTTCTACAGGCATGAAGCTAAACTCATCAATAAAATTGTTGAAGACATTTCGCTCGAATTACGTCACATTAATTTGAATGTCGATGACAACTTAGTAGGCATGGAGAGCCGGATAAAGGATATTGTTTCATCTTTAGAAATTGGTGTTGAAGATGTTCGTATGATAGGTATCAAGGGGATTGGAGGCGGTGGGAAGACAACTTTGGCCAGAGCTGTTTTTGATAAATATAGCTTTCAATTCGAAGGCAAATGCTTTATTGAGAACATCAGGGAAGTTACAAATTCATCGTTCTCTGGTTTGCAATCGTTGCAAGAAAGAATACTTTCTAGTGTGTTGAATGATAAAAGTTTCAACGTTGGGAGCATTCATGATGGGAAAAAGATAATGAAAAGGATGTTGTGTGGTAAAAAGGTTCTTCTTGTTCTAGACGACGTGGATCACGTAGAGCAGCTGGAAGCATTAGCTGGTGGGCTTAATTGGTTTAAACAGGGAAGTAGAGTTATTATTACAACAAGAGACGAGCAAGTGCTCGAACACCGAATGAAATCGATTCATAAAGTCAATCTGTTATCAGATGTGGAAGCAGTGTGCCTCTTCAGTAGGTATGCATTTGGTAGAGATTTTCCAATTCCAACATATAAAGATCTCACACTCGAAGTTGTACATTATGCTGCTGGTCTTCCCTTAACGATCAGAGTTTTAGGTTCATTTCTTTGCGGTAAAGATGAGCTTGAATGGAAAGACGCACTAGAAAGGCTAAAAACAATTCCATTGAAGGAAACTATCGAAAAATTGGAATTAAGCTATACAAGCTTGGAGAATGATTACAAGGAAATATTCCTAGATGTTGCATGCTTAATGAAAGGTTGGCCGAAAGCAGATGCAATTAGAGCACTTGAAAGTTGTGGATTTCATGCTAGGATTGGCTTAAGAGTTCTTGAGCAAAAGTCTCTCATTACTGTTTCTCTTGATCAGAAGTTGCACATGCATGACCATATAGAAGAAATGGGACGGAATATTGTTCGTCGTTTGTACCCTGATGAGCCCATTCGACATAGCCGATTGTGGATTCGAGAGGAAATTGAAGAAGTATTGGATGATGATTTGGTAAGGATGAAGTTTTCATACAAGGTTGACAAAACCAACACCATTTCATTACTTATGGTGGAAGTTTCATAATCACTGTTCTTGGATTGCAGGTTAATGAAGCAACAAGAGCTATAACAATCAGAAAATTTTCATGGCCTGTCAAGGATAATCTCTGTTTTGGAAACATGAAGAAACTTAGACTTCTTGACGTGGTTTGTCCATTTGATAATTTGTTTGAAGTTGACCAAAATTTCCCAAACGCTTTACGGTTTCTGAGTTGGCAAAATTATCCTCATTGCTGTTTACCTAAAACATTTGAAGCAAGTAATTTGGTTGCACTTGAAATGCGTGAAAGCAGAATTAAACAACTATGGGGAGCGGGAGAAAGAAAGGTAGAATGGATGATTGATCTGTTTGCACGATTGATTTTACTGCTATACTACATCTATTGGTTAACTATTCCTACAATATTCATCTTTTTCTTCATTCTTGCTTATGATAGGTTCTTAAAAATCTCAAATTCCTTGACTTGAGTTATTCAAACTTGAAGACCCTTGACTGTGGGTTACTTCCGAATCTCGAAAAGTTAACCCTTGAAAAGTGTTATGATTTGGTAGAACTTCATGCGCCCATTGGATCTCTAAGAAGGCTTGTCCACTTAGACTTAAATCATTGCAGGAAACTCGATTCTGTTTCATTTATCAAACAGTTGGAATCACTTCAGGTTGTCGATCAAAGTGGTTTCTATCAAACACAGTACTTTTGCATGATTCTTTTACTGCTATACGTCTATTGATTAGTTAATACGGAAATATTAACTAGTTTTTTCTTTCTTGCTTATGACAGGTTCTTAAGAACCTCAGATCCCTCGATTTCAGATTTTTAAATTTGATGACTCTTGATTGTGCCTTACTTCCAAGTCTGGAGAAGTTAAACCTTGGAAGCTGTTGTCGTTTGGTAGAACTTCGCGCACCCGTTGGATGTCTAAGAAAGCTTGTCTACTTAGACTTATATAATTGTTGGGGGATCAAATCTCTTTCATTCATCAAACAGCTTGAATCACTTCAGGTTCTTGATCTACGTAATTTATATTTGACGGAATTCCCAGATATACTCCCCAAACAATCCAACGGGAGTTTGCTTGAGCTTTACTTTTCAGGGAATTTTATCCAAGAACTACCCTCATCAATTGGAAATCTTCAAAAACTTGTTTCTCTAGATCTCAGCTTTTGCAATAAACTAAAGAGTCTGCCACAAAGTATGTATAGTTTACGATGCCTAAAACGCCTTGACATTCAAAATACTGCGATAGAAGAATTATCCGAGGATCTTGGCTATTTAGAAGCTTTAGAAACACTAATATTAAAGGGTACACATGTCAATCATCTCCCTAATAGCATTTGTAAGTTGAAACATTTGAAAACTCTACTTCTTGCAGATTGTAAAGCCCTTATGAAGTTACCCGAGGATCTTGGCCTATTACAATCTTTGCAGGAACTAAGTCTATCACATTGCAAGATAAGAGATGTTCCTAGTAGCATTTGTATGTTGAAACGCCTCAGGAAGTTGTACCTTCTTAAATGTGATCAACTTGAGGAATTGCCCGAGAAACTAGGAGACTTGGAATGTTTAGAAGAGTTAGATATACGTGGTACAGTTATAAGTCATCTTCCCCAGAGCCTTTCTTTATTAAAGGGTTTGAAAATCATGCAACTTTATGAAGAAGGTGGATTATACATCGTTTATCAAGTTTACACTTTAATGAAGTGGCGGAGCATTGTAAGGCCCAGAAGGGGTTGTGGTCCCCCTTCTTTTTTTTCTTAGAAGTAGTAATAGCCCATTAATTTTTATAAATATTAGGCCCAAAAGTATAAAGTTTAGGCCCCCTGTTTCTATTGTAAGAACCATAATTTTCGTTTCTAATACTCCCCCCCCCCCCCCCCCCCCCCCCCTCCCCAAACCAATTCAAGTTTTGCCCCTACAGGGGTGGACCCACACCACGTGATTTGCTCATCTTCCCCCTTGAAAAAAAAGAACAAAAGGTGTAAAGGGAGAACTGAAGATATTTCAACGTGTTCCACAGAAAAATGCAGAGATTGTGACCTTATTCACGAGTTTTTTTTAAGCATGGAAGGGAAATGATTGCAAAGGAAACCCAATAAAATGCGCTGTTGAGATCTTTTAAGGAAGGAAATGATATGATTATGCAATTAGGAGGGATACATTTCACATTTCTTCCCATCAAAACCATCAAATTGGGCTGATTAGGAAGGTAAACTTAAATTTTCTTCCATTTTCATTTCTTTCCTTCCAACTTGAGAACAAAGACAATTTTTTTTCCGTTTGTTTTCCTTCCCTTCCCTTCCTTTTATGTTCCTTAATTTGAAACTCGAGAACAGGGAGGGAAGATTATACAAGGTGTTTTCCATGTTCCTTAGTAATTGTCTTACTTTGTATTTGAATTTTGAAATTGATACGATTTTGGTTGGTTTTTATGTATAATCTAAAATTGTTTAAGAAAAAAAATTATTGTTATTGATATAATTAAGTTGGTGTTAATTTTGTTGCATTATAGATAGGTAGTTACATTTTTCCCACCCAGGTCCATGCATCCTAATTACTACAAAGAAGAATTTGTTTGCACATGTTGAAGATCTGAGGCAACTGTCTCAAAGTTTTGCCCTCATGAGGGATGAGTAAATATTACAAATCTAAGAGTTTTATCTTGGTTATTTTAGTGTCAACGGACATTTTGTGTAATTGGAATTAATATGTGAGCTAATGGGCTTATAATATGTACTCTATATTATACGTTTGGTGAGTGCGGAGTGCACGCATATATAAGATCAAATGATAAATCGGTACGACAAATGGTGGGGGTCAAGGGGGGGGGGGTTTGGGGGTATAAAGTATTGTCCAACATGGAGCAATTGGAGTTCATGGAATATGTGACAAAGGAACGGATCATCTGAGAAGGGAATGAATCATCAGATAAAGGAATGAATCAAGTGAAAAATGAACAAATCTTCTAAAGAGGGGTATGGAGCACATAGGAAGGGAATGGAACATCTTATGATGTTCCATGATGAAGATGTGCCATCCTTGGAGGTAGATATGGCACTTCATGATCAAGGTGTGCCACACGTGTTCCTTTGATGAGCCATGGTATCCTTTGATGAGCCAATTATGGATAAAGATCATGGAAGATGCTCATCGATGATACTAATGGAAGATGCTCTTCGAAGATGCTCTTGGAAGATGCTCTTCGAAGATGCTCTTCGAAGATGCTCATGGAAGATGCTCATGCGGAGATCCTCATGGATGATTTTCATGGATGATGCTCATGCGATGATGCTCATGGAAAATGATCATAGAATGTTCTCATCATTGATGCACATGGAAGATTTTCATCAATGATGCTCATGGAAGATTTCCATCGGTGATGCTCATGGACGATGCTCATGTGGTTGAAGATTTCAGAAGCGCCTACATGGAATTCTATGGTTGATTGAAAATTAGGGCATCCTTTTATGGGTTATGTATGGATGGGCCTGACCCATCATAATTAAGGCTTCCTATGCTTGCCTATAAATAGGCTTATATCCCCATTCGTTATTCTTTGAGAGGGCGAGGGCGTGTACACAATAATTTCAAGAGAGCAATGATTGTGAGGTTGAGTACACATCCTTTGGATCGGTTAGTAAATAAGAGAGTTTCTTTTGTTTTAAGAGCTCAAGTGAGGTGTAACCTTTATGTGTGATTGTAATTGTTATTGGAAGTTTATTAAATCCTCTCTCTCTCTCTCTCTCTCTCTCTCTCTCGTCCGCCCGTGGATGTAGGTCAACTTGACAGAACCACATTAAGTATTGTGTTTAGTTTTGGTTTAAGCCTTTCATCAGTTTTATTCTGCAATTTTCACCGAAGTTTGTTTGACATTTTTCAGAAGTCCTTAACTTCTTTTGTTGTTATCCCAACAAACTAATATTATAGTTATGGGTGAAGATGAGAGAGTTAAGATCGACAAGTTCAATGGAAAAGATTTTGATTTATGGAAAATTCAAATTTAAGACAAACTTTACAATAAGAATTTACATGAACCATTTTACAAAAGTCAACTTGAAGATATGAAGAAAGAGGATTGGGATTTGTTAGAACGGAAGGAACTTGGTGTGGTGAGATTATTCTTGGCAAAGAATGTAGCTTAAACATTATCAATGTGAAAACTACTCATGAGTTGATCAAGGAACTATTTAACATGTATGAAAAAGGTTCACATGATTCAATAATTGGTAAGTATAAAGATGAAGGAGGGTGGTTCAATGATTGATCATGTTAACGAATTTCATGCAATCTTATCAAGGTTGGGTGAGGAAGGAATGAGGAAGCTTTTATCCAATAGGAGAATGCTAAATTCGAAGTTTGTGACAGATACTTATGAGCCATGTTCTATTGGCAGACAAAAGAAAGCCAATTTTGCGAAGATAGGCAATCTTCCTAAGTTTGGGAAGTCGATTATAGTTTATTCGCTTGTTTACAGTCTCACTTCAGTTTCTTTAGTGGAAGGATCCTGGAATGATGCAAGACCTATCATTGGTTAAAGGATATGCATATGCTGAGGAAGCAGTGGGAGCTCTGATAAATCTAGAAGGAGTGGGAGCTCTGGTGATAATAGTTGCGAGGGTGAAGTTATAGGTCTTTCAAAGATCAGGCCTCCTATTATCCACATGACCACTAAGAAAAATACTTTAATGAGTTATGATACATTAATCAAACACTTGTTTATGTGTGAGAATGGGTCAAAAGAGAAGGCCTTGAGGATGAACTCCATACTGTGGGATAAGGCTATAGATGAAAATTTGAGCGAACTATAGAACGGTCAAATGTTTAAAGTTAAGGATGAGATAGATGGCAATAAAACTTTCAATGGAAGATTAGTGATCAAGGGAATGCAATAGAAGAAAGAGAATGATTCTCTAGTTGCAAAGATGACTACAATTAGTTCCATCTTGAATGCAGTAGCCTATACTAGTCTCCATCTAACGGCCTATACTAATATCCATCTACAACAACTAGATGTGAATATTACTAGTATCCTTGATGATAACTAGGACGGATACATCGGGAAGGCATATCCAGAAAGTTCTCTTATAGTTGGAAATAAAAATTTGGTGTTTAAGAAAAAGGAAAACCTATATGGAATGAAGCAAACTTCTAAGCGGTGGTACTTGAAGTTTGATAACTTTATGTAGAGGAGTGTGTTTAGAAGACGTCAGATGATCACAAATGATACCTAAAGAAGTTAAGCTCCTCGTACATCATCCTCCTATTGAATGTTGATGTTGTGTTGATTGTTGATTCCAACATGCAAAAGATCAATGAGTTAAATATGTGGATGACCAGAGACTTTAATGTAATAAACTAAGGGGCTGCTAAATTGAAGAAAGTCCTTACTATGGTTAACTCAACATATGAAGGAACTAAGGTGTTTACCATTGAAAACTTGAAGTTGTGCATAACTTCAGCTTTCCTTCCACGATTTTGAGGAATGGGGGTTGGTGTAGAGAGAGAGAGAGAGAGAGATAAAGAGAGAGATAGAGAGACCGAGACAGAGAGAGAGAGAGAGAGAGAGAGAGAGAGAGAGATTGAGAGTGTATGATTGAGGAATTATGAGTAACTTGAATGATATTTGAAGTTGTTCAAACCGTCAAGTAGGAGATTGTTATGGTAGGAAGTCTTGTCCAACATGTATCACTTGGAGTTGATTGAGCATGTGACAAAGGAACAGATCATTTGAGAAGGGAATGGGACATCAGACAAAGGAAGGGATCAAGTGAAAAAGGAACAAATATTCTAAAAAGGGGTTCTACAGCACAAATGAAGGGAATAGAGCATCTTGTAGTATTCCATGATGAAGATGCACCATATAGAAGTGGATGTGCTACTCCATGATCAAGGTGTGCCACATGTGTCCCTTTGATGAGTAATGATATACCTTGATGAGCCACTTATGGATGATGCTCATGGAAGATGCCTATCGATGATGCTCATGGAAGATTCTCATTGATGATTCTCATGGAAGATTCTCATAGATGATGCTTATGGAAGGTGCTTATGCGAAGATCATCATGGATAATTCTCATAGAAGATGCTCATGTGATGATGTTCTTGGATGATGCTCATGGAAGATGCTCACTGATGATCCTTATGGAAGATGCTCGTCAACAATGCTCATGGAAGAGGCATATCGATGATCCTCATGGACGATGCTCATGCAGTTGAAGATTTCAAAAGTACCCACAAGGTGTTATGTGATTTGTGGAAAATTAGGGCATCCCCTTTATGGGATAATTATATATGGGCCTGGCCCATCAAAATTAGGGTTTCCCATGCTTGCCTATAAATAGGCTCTTATCCTCATTTGTTATTCTTTGCGAGGGTGAGTACGTGTACACAATAATTTCAAGAACGCAATCATTGTGAGGTTGAGTGCACATCCTATCGAGCAGTTAGTTAGCAAAATTGTTTTTTTTGTTTGGAGAGCTAAGGTGAGGGTAACATTTGTGTGTGAATGTAATTGTTCTTGTAATTTTAATAAAATCATCTCTCTCTCTCTCTTTCTCTTTCTCTCTCTATCTCTCTCATTCACTCTCGTTCGCCCGTGGATGTAGGTCACCTTGACCGAACCACGTTAAATATTGTGTTCAGTTTTGATTTGAATTTTTTAAAAGTTTTATTTTGTAAGTTCCACTAAAGTTTGTTTGACATTTTTTAGAAGTGGTAAACTTGTTTTGTTGTTATCCCAATTGGGGTCGCGCCCCCTTGCATGGTCCTATGGGCAACACCCCAAACGTGGTCCAAGCGGTAGATCCCCTGGCGGTGGCCCCTGTGGGGATTTGGGGAAACGCCCCAAAAGGTCTTTGGAAATTTGTAATTAGTATCATAGTGTAAAATCTGAATTCTAGTGGGTGATTATGGTAAAATTGACTAATATCTTCACGTTTGGAAACAATTGATTAAGTCATTAATTTTGTGATTTACTTAACTAATTTATAAGATAGAAACCCTAATTTTCATGTATAAATACAACTCCTTTATTGAGCCATATGACAACCATCTCAACTCTCTTTTTCTGTAAACGATCTCAAAATTCTCTAGCAAGTTAGCTTACTTGTCTCTACCAAGATTCGTAAGTATCCCTTTGGATTATCGTAGGCTGGATTTCCGGTAACCTGGACATTGGGTAGGAATGTCAGTTCGAAAAGAGACCTTACGCGACCTATAAGGAATTTGGATTTCCACCATAAACCTTGAATTTCCACCATAATCCTTTGTTAGTCCTAACATTCCTCCCCCCCCCCCCCCCCCCCCCCCCCCGCGGGATGCTGCAGGAAACTTCGAAAGGATTAAATGGAAAAACAACAACATAAATAATTTAACACAATTGTATTACATTTGAGCTCTATAGGAAATCTTGATGAAATGAATTTCAACTTGTAGTCTCTTTGTTGCTTAATCACTCTGTTTTTTTGCCTGAAAAATTGAATTTCGACCCTTACAAAGCATTACCCACATTATATTTCCATATTGAAACACATTTCACATCCTTGTCTCCGTCACAATATCCACAAATTACATTAGTATCGAATAATAGAACATACATATATACCAAGAACTTTTAGAAGCAATCAAGAAACATTAAGTGGAATGATAGAAGTACCTTATTAGAGTTTTAAAGTCAAAACCCAGATTTTCAAGCTTCTACTTCCAAAAATAGTCAGAAGGAGCCCCATTTAGCAATATTATATATATATATATATATATATATATATATATATCAGCCAAAATGTTGGTACCTAACCCTAACACTTATGTATGACACAATATGAAAAGTAGACTAAAGGAACACAAATATTCAAAAAAATAAAGAACACATTTTATTTATCAGGTTTTCGTTTAAGTACAATGATTCAGAAAGAACATAAAATTTGGATGTTTTTCTGAGAACTCACTCAGAAAACACTCTACAAAGAACTCTCAATATATCAAAATATAATATAAATCATCAGCTTTCGACATACAAAAGCATCTAATATATATCCTAATAAAACAAAAAAACCCTACCATATAGGTATGAGATGAAAATCTTCAAGATAATCTCCAGATCCGAAAATCAAATCAAATCCCCAACATATAGGGATTAATTCATCAGTGATAAACTCCAGATTTGAGATAAATATGGAATAAACCAGAGAGAATATTTAGTAAAACTTGTTCAACAAGTATTTTGATCAATTTTGTTGGTGAGTAGGCATCAATGGATAATCATTAGGGATGGTATCAGGGGATACCATCAGGGGATAGCATCAGTGGATAACTTCAGCTTTCTTCAATAGCTTCAGAACACACTTTAGTAGCTA